TCGTACAATTGTATGAGTAAAGAAAATACCAAAAATAGCAATAGGACATTTAAACATAACATTTAACAATAATAAAATCATGTCAAAAGCTACAAATTTCGAATAAAGAAGCAATGAAAATAAAAACACACATAATACAAATTAACACATATATTCACTCACAAAGTGAATGAATGAGATAGAGAGATAGAGAGGGTTCATGAGAGAGGAAAAAGAGAGTTATATGAGAGATGAGAGAACGTGTGTTTGGAAAAGTGTGTTTGAAACGTTTAAGAGATTGAAAGAAACTAGCAATGCACTATGTGCGTTGCACGTAAATAATTTTTTAGACAAAAAATAATAAATAAATATTTGGTATATGTGTACATAAATTAAATATCATCTTAAATTTATCAAACTTATTTCTGTACCGCTCATACTCAATTAGAATTTTTGAAAACTATGTATGTTCCTAAGTTTTGTTGTTCTAACTTCAAGAAAAAGGATAAAAAAAATAATTAAAGTTCTAATTTTTTTTCTATATTTTTTTAATTGAAAGTGATATTTTAGTGATGTTTGAAAATTAAATTTTTTTTAAATTAATTTGATTAAGATTATATTTATAAACATTGAATAAAACACAAATAATTTTCAATATACCAATTATATTGGAATCTTATTGTATTTAAAATTAGTTAGATCAATTGAGATGAGATTGAATATAATATGCTATAATATATAATAACGCATATAAAAATTTAAAAAAAATTCAGTTTTCCTTAAAAATATACTACAATCTATTTTCACATAAAATCTTAACACAGTTTGAAAAAAATTTTGTGATATATACATTATTTTTTATTTTAAAAATTAAAGGTTAAACATTTTGATGAAAAATAAAATATACATATACAATCATAATGTTATCTTTATAAATTAGATGAGTAATATTATATTGATGGAGTTTTTAAAAAAAAATTTGAATATATTATTAAAACTTATAATGATGCATATATTTTTTAAGAGTAATATAGTCAAGCCAAAAGTTTCATAAAAATTTATATTTATACATAAAAAATATATAATTGAAAGTGATCTTAGATTTAATTTAAAGATTGAAATACATAAGAATTTGATAATAATTAAAATATTAAGTGTGAAAAAATAAAAGTAGTTTTCAATTTTTTTACGAGGGTAAAATAATAAATCAAAAAATTTCATGTAAGGTACTTTTATTAGTAGTATAAATATAAATATAAATGTGAGATATAGATAGAGTTGGGTGTATGATAGAGATATATACGAGAGATAAGAGTCTTAGAGTCGTAAAAAAAAAGAAAGTGCAATTAGATCGTCGGATCAATAATTCTCAAACAATTTAAGCAGCGAAAAGATCAAGACAAAGAATCTAACTAATTTATTATATAGATTATAGTTAAAGGTAATTCTAAGGTGGTAATAGATGTTATTGAGAATAAGCAAATGGATTTATCAGAGATAGGCAACTTTGTGGAGCAAATTCAAGATTTTGAGACTCAGTTTTTTTCTTTATCAACTTCGTGTACTTGCAGACATGAAAAAAACGTTGCTAATTGCCTAGCTAAATTTGCGATAAATTGTAATGTTCCAATTCTATGGAAGGAGGAGGAGATCCCCTTGTTCTTGTTATCCCTCCTCCATCAAAGTGTAATGCATTTGGATTAATGAAATGATTATCGTTTTTCTTACCAAAAAAAATAATAATAATAATTTATTTGCTTATAGATTTTATGCAAATAGAGGTGCATACCTAAAATCTAATTGGTTGATTTTATTTTTTTTTTCAATCGGATCATGTTTTAAGTGGAAAATTTGCTCAATTTTTTAAAAAAAAAATCTTGGGTCCAAAAAATTTAATATATATCTACCAATTTCTCCAGATGAGCACCAGCGAAGAACAATTACTTATCTATATATTTTTAAATGGATCCTCATTTTTGTAATTAATGTTTTTTCTGTTTTATATAGTGCTTTAGGCACGTGTTCATTACTAATTGTCAATATTATTGGTTGCCATGAGAGAGAAAGAGAGGACATTTAAATGAAAATAGAATAAAATAGTAAGGGTATTTTGGTATTTTTATGAGCTTTACAAAAAATATTAATTGGTGTGTTGATCTAAAAATTCATATAGATCAGCAAATCTGTGCATGACTTTAGTTATCAGACATAAGAGAATATGGGGAAAGCTAAACATCATTGTCTGTTATGATCAGGAAATAAGAGATGCATGGTTTGTCTATTTACATTGTGATCTTTCATCTATATCTATATCTACACTTCAGGATATGCATGTATGCAGTAGCTAAAATATCACTAATCAAAAGAATAGTCCAAAACAGTTGTCAAAACAACTAAGAGATCATCATATACTTCATAATGCATTCTAAACTTTGTAACCCAGTTCAGGCCTTGTTTGTCTCCCTACTGCTGAAAAATCTCCAGTAACCCCAGCAATGGTGGACCGTATCAGCTTCAATTCATCTTTCTCAGTCGTCTTCTTTGAATCCTCTGCTCCGCCCCCAATCTGATAACTCAGTGTTGATTCTTTTTTGCTTTGGTGTTCTGCATTCTGATTTCTATATCTGAGTCAGTTTCGTCTCTTAGTTCCTGATCTACTGGTTCTTTCAGTAGATCACTGATACTGACCTGCACACGATCAAAAATCTCCAGCTGCGCATCATCAAAGTACTCAACTGTTGCGCTGCAAGTTCTAATATAAGCTGCAGATACTTTGCTTTGACCATTTTCTTATTGCCCGTGACCCGTGTCTGAAGCTCAATCTGGTGATTCAGCTCCAAGGCCACAGATTCTTGATCCGATTTAAGTTCTCTCCTTAATTTGTACAACTGTTCCTTCAGTTCTGCAATGTCTCCTTAAATCGGATCGAGAATCTGTGGCATTGGAGCTCAATCACTAGCTTCAAACTCGGGTCACGGGCAAGAAGGAAAGGGTCGAAGCAAAGTATCTGCAGCTTATATTAGAACTTGCAGCGCAACAGCCAAGTACTTTTGAGCCCAACTGGAGATTCTTGTTCGTGCGCAGGTCAGTATCAGTGATCTACTGAAAGAAGAACCAGGAAATTATCAAGAACTAAGACGAAATTGACTCAGATATAGAAAGCAGAATGCAGAACACCAAAGCAAAAAAGGAATCAACACTGACGATTCGAATAGAAAACCGAACTTCAGCCGTAACTGATCCAAATTCTTCGTCCAATCGTCATCGAACTCACTGGGCTCCTCATTCTGCTTCTTCATCGCTGTCGAATCGTTCAATCGCAGCCGTTAGGATGTCGTTTTCCTCTTTGTTCTTTTCAATCCTATCTTGCTCAGCGAAATCGGCATCATTATTCGAACCTAGCGCCATGGATGATCTCGCAATAGCAAAGAAAAGTCAGAGAAATTAAGCAAGAAACGCACACACATACACACAGAGATATATATATGTACACAGATAGAGAAAGAGATACGTTGATGTGGTACTTGACGTTGCAGAGAGCGTGAAGACTTTGTTATCGAGAAAGAGAGGTTTGACGCTAAGACTATGAAATGCAATGCTTTATATATACCGGGGATGGTGGGGGTATTTTAGGTATTTCATTTATGGACTAACCGAAATTCTACCGTTCGATGAGAAAAGTCTTGCTAGTAGTTCGTTTCTTATCTTTACCGACAAAGTGGTAAAATGGTAAATATCTAACACACATAAAAGATTTAATGCATTTTGAATAAGTCAAAAGTCTTAAACTTGAATCTACTCTCATAATTTTTTAGTTCATGTGAAACCGGGATTACATCAAGGAGATTTAGTTTAGGTAATCTAAAGAATTCGATACTTTCAATTTAAAAAAGAAAAAGGAAAACAAATATTTTTGAACAAAACTCAAGTTTTTCTGAATTGTTTTTCCCAAGTTCCAGCAGTGGTTTAGATTCAACGCATATAAAAAAATGCATTTGTTGTAAATCCAAACCAAAAAACAAAGAACCATGGATGAAAAGTGATTAATTTCTAATTTTAGAGTGATAATTGTATATATGGTTAAATAACTATATATGTCTCGTCATTCAATTGGTCACACAAATGACTAAGAAAATACAATGACACCCAATATTACTCTCAAAATCAAATTCTTAGTGTTATTTTCACAGCCAAATTCACACATCATCAACTTGGGATTGTTACTAATGCCTCGTGGGTAGTTCACCACTCATGAGACAACACATGGCACGATATAAGTGGCACGTGTGTCCCCCGAGCTTCCACCTCTCATCAGTCGAGATTGGGCAACTGATATCAAGACCGAGTGAATAAGTTCCACAAGAGAGCAAAGATGTGGATGGTTGATCTCAAGGATTGATTACCGTTGAGAACCACACCATAGACCGAGTGTTGATATGACAAATAATCATAACCTATCACATCAATTCAGAACCGTCGGAAAAATAAATGCACAACCCTTGTTGACTGAATAGTGCTTAGAGACATCAAATTGAATGCTAGACACAGAGTCATAAGTGCTCGAGTCCAAGCCGTGATTATTCCTGCGTCAAGTACTTGATATTGGGGATGACTTGATAATTAAGGGGCGGTATGTCATGAATGCTCGGTCTTCCAAGTAATAAGATCATGATTGTGCCCCGTTTTCAAGCATTAGTAAGTAATGATATAGCACTTACTATGCGGCTCAATGACAAAATATGATGCGATAGCTTCTTGGGACGGATTTCGAGCACAGGTTACTTGGTCTAGGCTTTGAATACTCGAGTGGTTGTCACTTCATCCATTTGAATGTATAAATATCCCATTAAAACAGAATAACAGATATAAATACTAAACTAACTTTGTATTGTACACTTATCTTGTTAATCTTGAGCGCCAACTGGACTTAATCATTGGAGGGGATTAGCTGAGTACACCATCGGCTCCCTTTCTATCTTCATTCCTTCTTTTAGGAATCTCAGCAAAGCTCAACCTGGTGTTGCTATCTCAAATAATTACTAGAATTCATCCATGCTGACACATACCACACCACATTTATAGTCGACACTTAAGATGATCCACTTTATTGACAATGATTCAATGGATGATAATGGATTTCACAATGGTGCGACTGCCCATAATACTTATAATTTTATACTCGACATGGTGACAGACTTTATATCAAATGATATGAACCGGTGCATAGAATTCACCTTTAAAAATCGAGTTGAAAAGGAAGAATTTTCAAAAGTTTATATTCACGTTCAATCCAATACTTAATTGATGTTCGACCGTAACAAAGAAGGAGGTGGAAATAAGTGCATAATTAATTCAACTTCCTTAAATGGCCATGGAAAATCAATAATAACACATTCATATTATTAGAGACATCAACTGATTCTCTTTTGACTGTCTAGGTATATCACTTTTCTTCATAGAAAAAAATAGACTGGGATCCTCTATATTACATTTTGTATTCAATTAAATGGAAAATCATCCACGGTATATGGGTAGGGGTCACTAGTAAATGGTGGATCTCATGTGCATACTTCTTCTAGATGCTGCTATAAGCGATTAGGGGTGTTCATAGGTTGGATTGTCCATGTGTCTCATTATTTGGCTCGAAACACGATAGGTTTGATAGTTGGCCCGTTTGAACCCAATATCTTTCAAAAAGGACTTAATTTACCCCCAAAACAATTATCCGACCCGAAACTCGGCTCAACAGTCTGTCCTAAAAAAACCCGGCCCCCAAACCCACCCGCTTAACCCGCCTTTCCTTCATTTGAAAAAAAGTTGGACTATTAAATTTGAAACCCTTCCTTCTTTCCTTTGAAAAAAAGTTAGACCATTGAAAAACTTTGGTAGTTAGGTGGGAAAGCATTAGGTGCACAGTGAACTTAATACACAAAAATATTAAGTCCATGGTCAATTATGACCAAAAAAAAATCCATGGTCAATTGTTATATTCTCGTAGAAAGATTTATTGATATTCCAAAAGAAGAATAGAAATATCAAAATCATAAGATATATATATATATACTAGGGATAACTCGTGGCTGACGGCACAGTGCATCTAAAAAAATCGAACATTGAATTTGAACACGAAATAATCAACAAATGGACATTGGTGCTAAGAAGTAAGAATAAAAATGGATGTTTGTGAAGTAATAACACAACGGACAAAAAAAAGTAGGTATAAAAAACCAACAAATAGAATTAAGTATTGAAACAACAACAATAGTTAAAATGTTATTGAACCAAAAGGAGTTTACAATAATGTGCTCAATTATAAATTAGTCTAAAAAAACAATCAAAATCCAAGGAAGGAATTATGCAAAAATCATACAACCCATTACCCACATAAAACCAAAAAACCAAACCCTGTCAGTCATTTTTTCAAACATCTTGCGAGCAAGCCAGAAAAGGAAAACTAACAAAACTGTGAGCATACTCAAAAACTCAGTTTCAAGGAGTTTAAAGCAAGAAGATCACAATTTCAAAAACTCAACTGCCACTGCAACAAATGCCCAGAAGATCACAACAAAAATCAACACAATAGAATTGCAATCCCAAAGCAGAATCCTCAAATTGGTTGTCTCTAACTATATAAAGAAGTCCATCAAGAATTGCAAATGCTTATTCTGCCAGAAAACCAATTAATTGCATGAACTTGGAAGCAATTATCAACTATAGATATATGAAAATGAATCACAAAACTATAACAAAATAGAATTTGGGCAACACAGCTCAAGTGTCTTCCTTAACTAAAACAAAACAGAATTTGGGCAACACAGTTCTTGTGTCTTCACCAACACAGCTCCTGTGTCTTCCTTAACTAATGCTACGTGGTCTCCTTTCGAGGTCTGGAAAATAGATTTCAGTCCCCAAAGATAATGAAGAACTCCCCCAACTCCCTTCCATTTGACTACTTTCTCACATGATCAAATGGGTGTATTGGAGTTAGCATGTGTGTGTTTATGGTGTTCAATCTATATCACGCCTCTCCCATACATACCTTTTTGACTCCTAAACCAAAAAAAAAATAACAGTATGTTTACGTTTGCTGTTTAAATTATGCTCTAGTAGCACTCCCACTTGTATAAAATTTCAGGTTCCGGTGCTCACTCACCCTCTTGTTTTTTATTTGTTCATATGTGTTTTGGGGGCTGACCTGTGCTATCTGTACGTCTCATGGAGATAAGTTGAAAGAAAAGACTGTACCAGTATGAACATTGTGCGTACTGATTTTCACATAACAGTAAAAGTAGAAATAACTCTCTTCCACGATAAACTGTGATTCGATAAGACAGTAATTCTGACAAAACAGAAGATTTATTTTCAGAATCTCTGATTGTCTCTAGTAGAGTTTCAACCCATCCGAAAGTAGGTTTTAACAATAAGAAATAGGTTGAGAGGGACAAAGGAACCCTAAGAACTAGTAATGAATTGTTTGTTGGGTCGCCTCACCGGTCCTGGAAGACTATAGGGGATCTTGTAATACAGAAAAACAGGTTAGAAGGGTACCGGAGTGCTCTTCGGCGTATCTTCTCCGATGCTCAAGTCAGTTCATTGAGAGAGAGGAAGAAGAAAGCACTATAGTTCTTTTCAGAAGTTCTTGCGTACCTTTACAATATATTTTTGAGGACTATTTATACCTTCAAAAGTTTATCATTGCTGATAATATAGCTAGTAGGCAATCATTAGAGATGGGGCAGTGTGCCCCCTTTCCTTTAGTGGGGAATGCATTCAGGTTCGGGACGCCGAGCAATTAACGTTTTCCCTCGGCCTGCAGAGTATTCAATGCCCTTTCCTAGGCGAGGGAGTATTAAATGCCCAGGCATGAGAGCATTTAATGTCTTTCACTTCTCAGCCCCCATGCCTTAAATGTTGTCTACATTAAATATTTGTTTGATCAAGTCATGTGTCAGTAGGGGCATTCTGATTTTTTTGTCTTTGATCTGACACCTCATGTCATGTGTCTATTTCTCCTTGGTTGAATCTTCTGCATTCTTGTGCCTCCTGACACCATTGAATAGAACGTTGTTATGATGGCTAGTCTAGCCTATGCTAATCACCATCACCGGCTCTTGTAGGAGTGAAAAAGTCCACATTCCAATAGATACACCACAGCGCCGAGGAAACATACACACATCGGGACCAATATCATCATTCTGAGCCAAGGGATATGTGTCATCCATGCCGCCTCGGAGTCCCTCGGCCCCGAGAATTATTCCTTGGCGGGAGGCGCTAAGGATGTCAATGACATGTGTTAAGA